AATACTTACGATTCAAGGCTGTTTCACAATCACTCCACAATGGAATAGTTGCAGAATCGAGTTGATCCTCCCATTTTCTCCTCGTCATTGGGTCAACTTTGATCATAACGAGGTGAATGAGAATCGCGTAAGAAGTCTTTTTGTCGTCACCTATTGACAGGAGCGAGCCATATATTGCGGAGCCATCATCAATCAATGATCTCAATGATGCCGCAGAAGATTGCGTTATTTTTGGCAGGCTAAAGAGAGTCGAAATATTTTCATTAAATATTAGACATTCATTGTCGTATACTCTCTTTAGGCTGTATAAAGCTTTTAAATAATTGTCCTCGGTGACTTGAAACGCTCCAACAGTGCCTAGAGCTTCACCAGAGAGACATGAGATAAGATGATTAAATTTCTCTATGCTCGGGATCCCATTGTCGTTATGAACAAGAGTTTCGAAAAGGCTAATAAAATTCTTAATCTCGGAGTATTTTCCTCTAAACTTGGGAAGTGCCAGATGCGTAAGACGTGTGCGTGTAGCCGCAGCGGGCATGCCTGCAGGCGTTGCAGGACTTAATGTATTGATAACGGACCTTAGACAAGGTTTTGTCGTTATACAGAGTTCTTTGAGCTCGGCACGATACTCATCATCTGGGTCAAAAGTTTCTAATCGAGTCTGATATTTTAATGCTGTATCTATATGTGAGGCTAGCATTTCTAATCTACATTCTATCTCTGTAGATTCATGGTTTAATTTACCCTTTATTATTTGATCATTCAAACGCATTATGCTTTTAACGGACATATTGTGTTTCTTTTTTGAATCGTCAAAACTTTCCTAAATAGCCATATTTGACTTTAAATTCGATTTAATAATTATTAATTTAAATTAAAATCGAATTTTCCAAACGAATTCAAAGAGCTGATATGCCTGATCAATAAAGCGTAGGGGAGCGAGCGTCTCTTGACCAACGAAAAACGCGAACAAAAACAATTGCACAGACACAACTTAGCTCAAAGCGGAACGAAAATAAACGGGCTACAGCTGGCTTGCTATGTGCGTGTATATGTATGCCTGTACTGCACTTATATACAAGCGTTTGGTCTCGGACAACTGTATAATTGACAGTGGTTTCCAGTGATGGCAAGAGGGGGGAAACGACCACGACTAAGCGAAATGAAATTGTAATGACAATAAATTTTTGTCACTAATTATCCTTCGCTTAGAAGCTCCAAATTGCACAAATACTAAATAATATATAAATCTCCAAAGCGGTTAGTAAGTGCATGCAAATTTTAATTATGCTCAACTACTTTCCATATGTGCCAAGAATTGAAAGCGTTGGCTCTATTAGCGCAACCAAGCCAAATTTTAGCACAGTACCTGCTGTTCCACTTTGGAAGCCACTTACCCTGGCATTCTCCAACAATGGCAGCAGGAAAGATAATAATTATAAGTCAACCGGCCGACACGATTTAATTTGAGTTTTTTAATATAAGTTCACTCGCGAGCCACAGCTAGTTGCACTTTACCACTTAAGTTTGTTTATTTATTGTCAAATTGTCGTTTGAAACTGTCCACCCGGGGGCGCCATGAAAAATTATTTTATTTTATATAACTACAAAACGAAAATTATGGTGGCTTTAAAAGACAGATTGTGCGTTTCCGTGTGTATCGATTTAATTTAATTCGACGACTAACTCATAAGCCTACATTAAGCTAAGGCGGCGAGGCGAATTCTCTCCTAGCCTAGACCTTAAGTTTTAAATTCATTTTGTGAAGCAATACGCGGATCTGCGCCAACAGATAATATAGTTCCACTTTACAACATCGAGGATTATTCAAAAGAATCCAAGTTTAGATTAGAGCAAGCTTATAAAAGAGCTAGAATTATGATAGATGATTGGAAAACATTAGACCTTGGTTTGAATATAGGAGAGTACTTTTAAGTACTTTTAAAAAACGAAGTAGGTCACATCATCAATCATATTAATCAACATCAAATGCCTTTATCTTTTAATGCTGGAGAGCATTCCCAGCGAATTAGGCCCACAGCCAACAGTCGCCCCACAGATGACTACAAACGCGTTGATAGAAGAAATTCACCGCAAGCTATACCACGTTCCTATAACACATCCTCCTTATTAACTTAAGTAATCAGTTTGCCACGCTGGCTGACTTGGTTGATGATTTAGACGAATTTGAATCCGACCTAGACTTCGATATGGTGCTTAACCACAAAGACATATATAACATTAAAATTAATAAATTAAAGCGAGATCGCAAAGTGAAGACACTGCCAGAGCAATGGAAAAACCGGGATGCAGCCAAGAAGCGACCGTTTTGTCGGCACCCCAATGCCTCCGAATGTGACAGACCAGTTATCGTCATTGCCACATCGCTGAAAACGGTCAGTTCACAACGTCGTGGTAGCAACAGCTTGGAGATACGGTTTCCAGGTTTGGGGCATTGCATCTCATACAAATCGAAGACGGATTTAGACACTCCAAAACTTGGCCTTGCGCCGAATGACCGGTGCTGACTGGTACGTCAGAAATTCTATCTTGCACAGAGACCTCAAAATGGAGACCATAGTCAACCAAGTCGGAGCTTTCGCCAGTACAACGAAAGCTTGCAGCGACACTGCAGCCGTGTAGCGGTGTGTCGTGAGGAGGCTCAAGAGAAGATCGTTCAAGGATCTCCTCCAACCACGACATAGGAGACGCCCCAGAGTCCCCCGATTACCTACGTGACGATGCCATATTAAAAAAAGGTGCCATTGACAAGGCAATTACGTAATATGTATGCATGTGCAGAGTGTGTCTTGCGCTCAGTTATTGTAGTGTGTAATTGTGTCAATCTCTTCCTCACTGCAAAGATTTGCAAAAGAACCCCAGGACTTACATAAATACATATGCATATATTATGTGGTCGATCATTGCGTTTGCCGCCAGCCAGAGATATTTTCGTCAACGAGTTGGCGCTGCCTTCGGCTTTGTGGTAGACCCTGTAGATCCTGCTGTAGCAAAGGGAACACACATTTAAACGCTCTATCATGTTTTTTTTCGTTCACTCAGGCATAATGAGCATACAATATAACATTTATGTACATATAATTTGTATTTATACTTACAAATCAATACAGGGATGCTTAAACGTTATTGCTTCTGTTTTACATTTGTGTTACAAAACAAGAAAGAGCTTACTAAAAGGCAGGGTCCCACTTGGAGATTTTTCGAAACCCGCACAAAATCGTTTGCCTACATATTAATATATATAATAATTTAATATATAAAAATCACATATGTTATTGTTGCTTCAATCGGCATTTGGTAATAGCCGTTGAACGAGTTCTCATTTGTATTTTTATACCCTGAACCCATTGAAAATGGGTAAAGAGGGTATATTTTATTTGTGCAAATGTATGTAACAGGCAGAAGGAAGCATCTCCGACCCCATAAAGTATATATATTCTTAATCAGCATCAATGGCCGAGTCGATCTAGCCATGTCCGTCTGTCTGTCTGTCCGTCAGCCCGTCTGTCAGTCCGTCCGTCCGTATGTATGAACGCAAGGATCTCAGAACCTATAAGAGCTAGAGCTTGAAATTTTAGCTGTAGGTCCTCCTAGTCCCCGCGCAGATCGAGTTTGTTTCCGATATTCGATAACTTGCCCCGTTTCCAAGTAATCGATAAAAATCGTTATCGAAATCCTGTTTTTTGAGCAATTTCGGCAAATAATATGAGCAAGAATTACCAAACTTGACATGTAGCTTCTAAAATAGTATATATATATATATAGTATTTTTCATTTTATACCTATCGACCATTGGAAGAAGAGGGTTCATTGTATCCCCTAGTCAGGAGCTCCCGACTAGAACCTCTTGTTTTGTTTTACTATTATTAAAAAATGCTTCCCTGTTAAAAAAATAAATTATTTTATATTTTAAAATAATTATACTCGCGTATTGATGTAGAAAAATGCCCAGAAAATAATTGTTAAAAGGTAAAGGAATCATCGTCGAAAGCGTCATAGGATCATTAGTATGACCGGAATGAGGGAGATGTAGTAAACTTATGTAACGCAGGAAAAGTATCTAATATCGCGTATCTGAAATCGGGAACCTAGATTCACATTGTTATCTGTTAAAATAATGAGTGTTGGAATAATGAATGAAATTTGGTTTCACAAAACTGTGTTGTAAATAATATTTTAACAACACTAAAATTCACGCAAGCACTCATTCATACAAAAGTTAATGTGACCAAGAAGGCTTTTGTTGTTTAAATACTTTAGTCTTGATACTGGAATGCTTATATCGTTTAGCCTCACTCGTAGTAGATCTTCTGAATGGGCTTCTTGACGCGCTCAATAATCCAAATAATAAATATCAAAACGATTATAAAAATAAAACTAAGTGTTATTATTTAATTGTGTGCGATTGTAAGGTAATATTCCAATATTATCTGTTACGTTAAAGCTCTGTATGCGATTTATTTGTGTAGTTTGTTTTCGCTGAAGTCTTGCATAATGTCCGTTTGGTGCAGATTGCTTGACAAGCAGGGTTACAACATATACTTTGACGTTGCGAATTGCGGGCTGGGGACGGGACCGATACCTGACCCTGTCGGCGTAGGTCAAGGAGAACAAACAGTTCCTAATGTGACGCCCAATGTGAAGAAGCACACGGCTTTAATATCGTTGATAATTCTGAACATAAATAAAAACAATCAATGCACAATCAATCAATATATAATATCCAAACAAATACCGATCAGCCATCGGATGCACTCACCTGAAAGCTTATGTGGCACGAGCTGGTAGCCCATAGCAGTGTGCAGGATGATCCGGGACGCATGACAAAGGATGATCTTCTTAATGTCCTTAGCATGGGATTAATTTTTTTGTCGCGACTGGTAGGCTTGTGGCACATTGCCGAAGCGCTCACAACTGTTCTTTGCATTCTTGTGGTAGACGCATTGATATAAAGAAGCAGGTGATATAAAAATGTAACACAAGAGTAGAATTATGTAGGTCATATCTGGTCCGTTGACCGATGCCTTAAAAAAGAGAAAAAGGACGTTTTTGCTGAAAGACTTTTGAAGCAAACATTTACAAAAGGTCTAATGTTGGCTCCTGCTAATTACAAAAGTTGCCGCTGTGCTGTTGCCGCACAGATGTTTGTGTGTTGATCATAATTGCATCTATGGATATCTGCATCAGCATTTAAGAATACATATTGGGCTACATTTTATGATTTAAAGAAATTAATGCGAGGTGCCGATCCTGTTTAGACAAGTTAAGTGGATCTGTGCTTTGTTCGATGTTAATTTTTTTTATCTTTCCTACTGTTGTTGTTATTTAAAAAGTACCCAGGTTCTGGAGATCGGTATAAAAGGACTTTATTTAGCTGATTTGATAAGCTGTGGAGATAGCAGCAAGACAGCGCCAAGTGGTAAGGTTCCCAAAGTTGTTATCGAGTTTTGACCAATAGATGTCGAGAATCCCATTTACCTCAGAAATGATACTGCACCTGCTGACGAATTTCGCCTTTGTTCTAACTTCATTTCCCCACGTTGCTAAATTACGGATTTAAAATAGTCATCTAAAACTCTAATGGGCTTAGAGGCAAGCCCCTGAATATCGAAAATCTTCATCAGATGGGCAATATTGGCATCCTTAAATAAGCTATAATGTTTACTGCATCATTGACCCGTGCGACTACCTCTGCGGTGGTGCTGCATTGCCATCATTGGCTCGGTGATTAATTTTCACCTTTCTGGAGACTTGGAGAATATCCCAGGCTCTTTTGTGTTTTGTCACCGAGGCTCAGATATCAAGTTTCTATCGCTAGGTTCAGGAGATTTCCCCCCCTCTCCAGTCACCAGACGGTATCGACACCATCGCCATAAAGTTAGTTGGCACAATCTGTCTCGCCACCGCTTGTGTTGCAAACGTCCCACTGCAAGCAACGAGAATCCACCCAGCAATTTTACCACGCGACGCAGATTGTGCCCTGGAGTTTCGGCGCATCCCGTTGCTGCATAATTCTCCCTCCTCACCACGGCCCTGGCTGTGGGGTTGCATAGACCCCTTTCTCAGCGCCCCTGCATAAAAATTTGCAATCTTTAAGGGGCTGTTTGCACTAATTGTGTTCTATGACGTCGCACTCGTCGCGCTAGTGACAGCTTCGACTTCTCTTCACCATCGACGACAAATATAAATAATTTCAAAATGCACCAATTTTGTGATCAGGTTTCTGTTCTCAAAAACTACTTATTGTAAATAGGTTCTGTATATATAGGTTCGGGCTAAAACTAGTACCAATAGCCTAGCAAACATCTAACAACATCGTATCCCGTAAAAGTCAGTCTAAGTTTTAGGTTGATTATGCGTTCATATTAAGACGGAAGAAGAACCTTTCCAACTTGACCTAAGCACAATCAAATCATTGCCTTTGGCAGTGTTTGAAATCTGTTTTGTTTGTTTGTTTTATTATAATTGGAGAATGGTTTTCCCAAATAAAGGAAACGTATTTTTATTATTTTTATTCATTGCCCAATAATAAACGCATCTATTGAAGTTAAAAAAATGTCAAGAAAAATGACACGAAGTAAAAGTATTTGTGTTAGGAAAGGCAAGTGCGCCTATGTCAAAAATCTTGATCCTCTCGGCATAAAAAAGTGTTTTTTGTTTTTATATTTTATTTAACTTGGGTAATTTCAATAGTCGTGTGTTAAGCTATTTTCATCATACAAGTATAGGGGCGACAATTTACATGCTAATAAGTTATTTTATCGATAGTAGCTTAAATTAAAGTCTAACATAACAGGTAAGAAATTGGCGTAATCATAAAGGTTAACTGTTTCGAGTGGAGGCTCGGAGAGCAGATGACTATCAAACCGGCAAATTGCAATCTAAATCGTTATTATATCAAGTTTAATCATGTAGATGCTGTATTGTCGTGAAGATGAGCAGAGAAAGGTATGTTGGTTGCAGATGGTTTTAGATATAGCACCTTTTTAAAATGTAAACCACAATCCGGAAAAACCTTATAAAAGTGTTTAGCGGTCAACCCCCTCTTTTTAGAGGACGGAGGAATTTCTGCTAAGCGCGGAGTTAGTGTGATAAATGCGTGAAAAGCGCAGTCAGGAACGGCAAAAAAAAATATAAACTTTGAAAGTCTTTTCGGCAATATGCATTTACGGGACTCACTTAAAATTTACCTTGCCATAACAAAATGCCTTTTTTTCAGGGACTGAAGTACCAAGGATAACCAGAAATTTGTCAGTAATTCGGTATAAACTGGCTTGTATTCCATGCACTCATGGGACAGTTGCTAAGAGCAGCAAAATTAAAACTCTTAACATTTTTTTTGTATTGTAAGCCTCACCAAACTTTTCTTAATTAAGAAATTGGTTTTGCCGTTAAAATACAAATACATTTTGGCAGCTTTAATATGTTTTTTTTAAATTCATCTATATGAGTATCGCCACTGGTGAACAATCAATCCATCGGTTGATCGATATCATAATTGCTAAATGAAACACCTGTTAGATCCAGTGTCGATCGATATGGTAAAGGAGAGCAGGAAATTCCTGGCATTCGCGTCACCAGTACTTTACATTTTTAGGGGCTGCGAAACATCGTGACTGAGTCCGGGAAAGATTAGGCGTTAAAGAACATTCCGAATAGGAGAACAGACCATGTTGTGATAAGTTCTCTGGGCGCAGCAGGATGATATCGGCACTTCAATTAAAATCACGCCGATATCTATGTATTACTGATAAGTTTCTAATGAACAACGAAGTCCTAAGTGTGAAATTTAAGAAAACAGTTACAACAGCTCCGGTTACTCAATTGCTTCTGGCCTTATTATAAGGCACTTCTTTTGCTAGTGCAATGCATCTCACTTCGGAGATGAAACTATTCTATTAAACTTATTGAGAAGCATCAGGATGCCGATCGGGTTTTTTCTGCGAAGCCGCAATTACCCAAGTAAATTAAACAATGAAAAAAAAATAAGTGTATGCCTGTCAAAATTGCCATCCACTGATCCAGATAAAATCACAAAATTACAGGGGCAAGGAGGCAATCACTGATCATATTTTTCAGGATTTGTACAGCGATTTTCTGAGAACATTTACCAAACAAACGTTCCATGGAAGAAACCACCGCACAATTATTACTTGATTTCCTGGCAGGTTTTTATCGCAAGAGTGAGCAAAAACAATAATCTGTTAATTTGAAAATTGAACGGAATGTAACACAGCTGCTTTGTCGCGTGCTTGTTAATTAACATATAGCCTTTCTCCACTGGGCTTAAAAATGTCACATATTCAAGTTTCACATATTGGTGTTCCACCGGTTTTCGGTAACGAGTGGCAAAAGTTCCGCTTATTTAAATAAACCGCTGATCGAGTTGTTTTTTTATTAACCTAAGCGCCGCACAGATTATTAAAATTTTAAAATTATTATTATAATTATAATTAATGCTGATGAACACATTCACATTTTTCGCAAAATCAATATATCATCGCAACAAATCAAACTGCTCGGGGAGAATGAAATGTGTTTTCTTATGGGAGAACGTACAGGCCGCATTTTACACATTTTGCAAAAATGTGAAATTTTCAAGAAATGTGTTCAGTGGACAGAGGCGAATATATAGCAACTTAATATGTTTTTTGTCCATAGAGTGGAAAATCAAAATAACGATTTTATTCTTTAATTTGGTCGTCTGCGTTTTCCATACAAAAGAAGCAACTTTTGTATATGTTTTTAACTTACATGTATATATTTAAATGACACTTTACTTAAAAAACTTGAAGAAACAAAAAATATTTCACATGCAATTTATGCAGTAATTTCAATAATAATAAAAGCAATAATAATTGTTCTTGTATATAGTAGTTCTTGTATGAGTAGTTTACTGAACGCTATCTTGACTTTCTCAATAGTTATTGAAACAGACCAAAATATTTGTCAAGCATGCATTTTTATCGTTTAATGGTTTCGCATTTATCGAACGGTGTAAAATGGTACAGCAAGACATTTTGGCGCCATTTTTTGTGTAATAAGCAAGCCGATTTTGATTTCTAAAACTGTGAATACTTAAGATGACGAAGTCAAAGTCCCTCAAACCCGAAAAATTATATGTTATTAAAAGAGGTGAATTACTTGCATATTTATTTGTGCATGGGTAATAACATACTTTCTATCATTTAGATGGCAGGAAGGAGGAAATTCATTTTGATAAAATTACATCTAGAGTACAGAAGCTATGTTATAATTTAAATATGGACTTTGTTGATCCTGTAAGTATTTAAGTTTCACATGATCTAATTATAGAACTACAAAAATTCATTTAAATAAAATTTGCCTATGAAATTGTTAAGAGCGTAAAGGAGAAACCTCTGCTCCCGTAGTTTTTAACAATTTTCGGTCACTACTGTTGAGCTGATATAGCTATGTATGTCCGTCAGTCTGTTCCCATACAACCTAGTCTACGATTATCTAGACAAAATTTGTAAAAGTCCATCATTTGCATTTTGTTGTCATGAACTTTATGAATTTGTTATCTAAGTCAAAATTTTACTAACAAATTATAAAAAAAGTTAAGTTTATAAACTGACTTGAAATATGTATTGCTTACAGTAAAATTATGACGTTGATACAAAGATAAGTCAAATCTATCTTTTCCACATCAGTGTACAAAAGGCAAATTTAGATTTTCGTGCTATTCTTTTGGGGTCTTCCATTTTTATACCCTTGTAGAAGGAATTATAATTTTGTCATGAATGTGCATCGCATAGAAGGATATACATCCGACTCTATAAACTATATATACTCTATATCAGCCGAGTTGAAATAGCCATGCCCTGTCTGTCTGTTTAGATATGTATGAGCAAGTATCAGTTTTAAAGCTATCGTCTTGAAACATTCCATAGGTCCGTCTTTCTCTAGTAGTCTGTATCTATATCATATAGCCGTGATATGAATGATCAACCAAAAGGCATGTTCTCATCAGCATGATTTTTATACCCTGAACCCATTGAAAATGGGTAAAAGGGGTATAATGTATTTGTACAAATGTATGTAACAGGCAGAAGGAAGCATCTCCGACCCTATAAAGTATATATATTCTTGATCAGCATCAACAGCCGAGTCGATCTAGCTATGTCTGTCTGTCTGTCCGTTCATCCGTATGTATGAAAGCAAGGATTTCAGAACCTATAAGAGCTAGAGACTTGAAATTTTAGCTGTAGGTCCTCCTAGTGCACGCGCAGATCGCGTTTGTTTCCGATTTTTGATAACAATCCATATCAAAATCCTGTTTATTTTAAGCAATTTCGGTAAATAATATGAGCTAGTCACCAAACTTGACATGTAGCTTCTAGAATAGTATATATACATATATCAAGTATCTTTAATTTTATACCTATCGCCTGTTGGAAAAAGAGGGTTCAGGGTGTCCCCTAGTCGGGAGCTCCCGACTAGAACCTCTTGTTATACCCTGAACCCATTGAAAATGGGTAAAAGGGGTATAAAGTATTTGTGCAAATGTATGTAACAGGCAGAAGGAAGCATCTCTGACTCCATAGAATACATATATTCTTGATGAGCATCAATAGCCAAATCGATCTAGCCATGTCCGTATGTATGAACGCAACGATCTCAGAACCTATAAGAGCTAGAGACTTGAAATTGTTGGTGTAGAAAATTTCATCAAGATCGGTTAAGAAACACAGAAGTTATTAAATAAATCATGTTATTGCTGGCCTCGACTTTGGAGCGACAAGCGCAAATTCCAAGCATTTCTGTATACATGTACACACACACATTCATGCGCGTCTGCTTTGAATTCTATCAACAGCATTGCAATTGCAATGTTTTTGATAGCTGCTGTTTTCTGTGCTGCTATTTAAATTGATTTTTTTCTCATTAAAGCTCAATTATTGGTGTGGCCCTTGAGTAGAGGCAGCGGCAAGTGGTGCGGTTAGTTGCGAGTTTGAACCCTGCCAAGGGAGCAGTTTTTTTTTCTTTTCATTTTTATTTTTTTTACTACTAAATCAATCGAGCGCGTAGGGCGAGCTGCATTTGGTGTTGGAAGAAGAGAGTTCAGGGTATCCCCTAGTCGGGAGCTCCCGACTAGAACCTCTTACTGGTTTTTTTTTTAATTTGTTTTTTTTTTACTAGTAAGCAAACGAGCGCGTAGCGCGAGCTGCATTTGGTGTTGGAATAAGAGAGTTCTGGGTATCCCCTAGTCGAGAGCTCCCGACTAGAACCTCTTAATTGTTTTTTTTATATAAAGGGAAACGAATTTTTTTGCTACACCAGTTTGGCGGTGGGTTCAGGGTTTCCTAGTCGATTATTCCCGACTAGAGCCTTTTTAATTTTATGTATATACCATATTGAATACACGTTCATGTTTAAGAATATTAAATGTTTTAAAATAGGTTTCAATTACACTTAAAGTCATAAACGGGCTTTACTGTGGTGTGACAACACAGGAGCTTGATAATTTAGCAGCGGAGATAGCAGCCAGCTTAACAACCCATCATGCAGACTATGCCCTTCTAGCTGCTAGAATTGCAGTGTCCAATCTTCACAAGGAAACAAAGAAAGTTTTTTCAGGTAATTGTATAGACACTTGCATATAAAATTATTTTTTCTGCCTTGCTTTAAACTGTATAAATTTTGAATATATAATAATAATGTACAAAATTCGATAAGACTGTGATCTAGGGGCTCAAATCGTTAACTTTTGCAAATTAAAAAAAAATTAATTTATATACAAGCAAAATTTAATTTTTTTTTAGATTTTAAACATTTTAAAATATTATGGTTAAAGCTAAAGCTATACGGACTGACTGACAGATTGGTGAATCATCAGAGCTTTGAAGCTAAAACATTTACTAAATTTTTCTCTTAGGATGAAAGTGTATACATAGAGAGGATTTGAAAAATTTGTCCTACCCTTTGGGGATATTCGTAGTCAAAGTTTGTATACAAAATTCATCACCTAGTACGCACATGCATATGTGAAATTTGCAAACGTGACTACAGTTTGAGTTACTTAGATGTCTAAGCGTCGAGCTCTCCCGTCAGAATCTATCTAATTTATATATTTGTTTATTTTTATTAATATTTATATAGTTATGGCAACCGTCAGGACCATCCAATTGATACTTTCTTTTTTCTCGTCCCAAATAATTTCTTTCTGGAATACATAGGTACAAAATTTATATTTTTCAGCAAATGCCAATCCATACATGACATGCCCTTTTGAACCTCAAGTCGTGAAATTTCCCGTTTACATCGCCCATTATCGACATTGTTGAGAAAGTTGGAAATCGTATTTCTATGTCGATTTACTCTTTTAGCGATTTCGGCAATTGTGGTGCCGGCCTCCTGCAAGCCGCTTATAAAACCACGTTTCCGATAAATGCAGTCCACGTGGCATTTTGAATTATGTTAATTTATTGGAGAGTATATTGTCCGCACCTATTTCCCACTCTGGAAAATGTTTTTAATATGTTATTATATCTCCACGTCGCTATTTCCTCTTGTTAACACGAAATTCCATACAAACCTTACATTTGCACATATACAGTGTACAAATAATGTCTTCGTACAGCGACTTAAATATTCTTTGGTAACGAAAGTAACTAACTTGCAGAAGAGTAACAAAAAAAGTTTAAATGCAGTTTTCTTTATCTATTAATTAACTTTTTTTAACAAAAAAATATATTCAAAATGTTTAATAATATAAAAGTTATAAACAAAAAAAGGCACGTTTTTTGCTCCAATGGTCTTGGTACACCATACTATTCAGGCACTTAAGCTGCATACGAAATGTAAAAAAGGTAACGGTAGTTTTTGAATGTGTACATAGGCATTTTGGGCACATCTTGGAAGCAAGTTTCTTGGATTTTTTTTAAAAATTTGTTTAATACGTGCCTGGAAAATATTTAAGCATTGAGGAACGTCGGCTAATTTTAAATATGCACGTCAAGCAACTAAAATCTTATGCAGAAATTGCGAAAGTTATATGTCGCAGTCGTTCTACCGTACAAGCTGTCATTGGACGGGTAAAATATGAACGGCGTGTGGAAAATAAGGCAAAATCTGGCCGCCCACAAAATTTGACAAACAGCGATCGGTTGGCTATTAAGCGAATGGTTGCCTCGGATCCATTTATAAGCGCAAATAACATAAGTTCACAGCTTCTACGGTCAAGGCAGAAGCAAGTGCACCCCGAGACGGTTAGAAAGGCCGTAGTATATGCCGGGTACAAGTCACGCACACCCAGACGAAAACCTTTTGTGAACTCTGTCAATAGAAAGAAACGCTTAGACTTCGCAAAAGAGTACCAAAATGCGCCTCCAGAGTTTTGGCGTAATGTCATATTCTCGGACGAGTCTAAATACAATATATATCGCTCAGATGGACGGCTTCGAGTGTGGAGTAGAGCTGGAGAGGCATACAACCCAAAAATACTATTAAAACAATTAAACATGGTGG